ACTTGTTATTTTTGTTGGTCCCATCAAATCTGTATGAACCAACTCAAACTTCGTGGATCTACGATTTGCTAATCTTTGGAATGAAAGATGATGTGATTTTTCAAATTGAGAACCTTGACAAACTACATCTTCATGAATATTTTGTAGAGCTGGTAGACCATACACCAGTTTCTTTGAATAGACTTGCCGCAAGTATTGGGATCCCAAGTGCCCCAATCTAGCATGCCGAATTGTTGCGCTATCTGTTTAACTTGTCTTCTTCACATAAATTTGTGCTACTGTCATGTCAGATAACGAACCTTTTTTTCCTCCTGTAAGAACAACATCAGTAGATATGTTCTTCACATTATCCTGGATCTTCACATCATTTGTACTAAACAAAATATATTTTTCAAAATCAGTGATTTGAGAAACTGAAACTAAGTTTCTCTTCAAGCTTGGAGCATGAAATACATCGTTCAACTTGACAACCCCTGTATCTCCAACTTCATTCTTCAAGACTCATTCATTAGCTATTGGATATGTCGAGTTATCCGCTGTAACAACTACTTGTTCTCTTTTGTATTGATACAACTCTGAAAGAAGAGAATAATTTTCGAGCAACCAACCAGAATCAAGAATCCATTCTTGTTTGCAATTGTCATTATTGTTGAGAGCTTGAACGGGTACAACATCATCATTTCTCAGTTCAGTAACGTCAATAGTGAAGCACTACTCCCATTTGAGTTTCTCATTTCCATCATTTTCACTTGCAATGTTTGCTTTTGAGAGCTTCACTCCACAATATTTTTTGATTTGTTCAATTTTACAGCATCTATAACACTTCCATTATCAAAGTTGCCACCAGTATCTTTTTCACCATTTGATTCTTTTCATTGTTCCGGCTTTCAAAGATGTTTATTTCTTTTTGTTAAGATCCTTGATCTTCACCATGTGAGAACCTTCAAGATGAGAGAAGAAAAGAGAAGAGAAGAGAAGAGAGGAGAGGAAATATAATGTTTTGTGTATTTCTAACTTGTATTCAACAACCTGTACATACTGTATTTATACACTTTATTAACAACATTTAACAAACTCTTACTACCTTTCTAACAATATAACTAACAAGATACAACTAACTAACTAATGGAAAATATCTCTTTATTTAACATCCTCCCTCAAACTGATGCTTTGAATACATCCTTCAAGCACAGTTTGGTCATTAAGTGTTCATGTTGTTACCTGCCAAGACTTTTCGTTAATAGATCTGCCTGTTGTTCCTTAGTAGAAACATAATGAGTTTTGATAACACCTTGTATAATCTTGTCTCTCACAAAATGACAATCAATGTCAATGTGCTTAGTTCTTTCATGAAAAATGGGATTTGCTGCAATCTGAATAGCAGCTTTGCTATCACAATAGAGACAGATTGGAACCTCAATACTGATTCCCAGCTCTTTGTACAAACCAATCAACCAAGTTACTTCAGCTACAACAGAAGCCATGCTTCTAAACTCTGCTTCAGCAGAGCTTCTAGCTACTGTTTCTTGCTTCTTTGACTTCCAAGACACTATAGCATTGCCAAACTTCACTAAGTATCCTGTGACAGACCTTCTAGTCTGTAAACAACCACCCCAGTCAGAATCACAATATGCTGCAAATTTTCCAGAGCTATCAGAGGGCATTAGAAGGCCAAGACCTGGAGCATTTTTTATATATTTCACTACTCTTAAGGCAGCATTCATGTGAGATTGTTTGGGATTGTGCATGAATTGACTTAGCACTTGCACTACATATGCAATGTCAATTCTAGTCATAGTAAGATATAATAACTTTCCTACTAGTCTTTGATATTGAGTACGATCAACAAGTAATATATCTTCACTTGTAGAACCTGCTTCCTTAGTTATAAAATCATCATAGTCAACTTATGTAAGTTTCAGATTTGTCTCCAAAGGTGTGTTAACTGGTTTAGTGCCACTCAATCCCAACTCACTAATTAGTTCCAATGCATACTTCCTTTGGCTCATCACTATTCCCTTTTGTGATCTCACAAATTCAATTCCAAGAAAGAACTTCAATTCTCCAAGATCTTTCATTTTGAACTTTAGCTTTAAGTCATTCCTTGTTTGTAGAATCAGATCTGTACTGCTTCCAGCAAATCATCCACATAAACCAACACAACTACCAACTCTCCTTGAACTGTCTTGGTGAATAAGGAATAGTCAAAATGACTTTGTGAGAAGCCAAGTTGTATCAATGCATCAGTGAGTTTCTTGTTCCATTACCTAGGTGCCTGTTTGAGTCCATAAAGAGACTTATGTAATTTGCAGACAACATGTTTCCCCTCCTGGCTAGCAAAACCAGAGGGAACCTCCAAATACACTTCCTCCACTAAATCCCCTTGAAGAAAAGCATTATGAACATCCATCTGAAAAATAGGCCAATGTTTAGCTGCTGCCACAACCACAGCTGACCTGACAGTGACCATCTTAGCAACTGGAGAGAAGGTCTCAGGGTAATCTAACCCCTCTTGTTGGCTATAACCTTTAGCTACAAGTCGAGCCTTGTACCTTTCCACAGCCCCAGAAGATGTGTACTTAACTTTGAACACCCATTTACACCCAATAGGTTTTTTTCCAGCTGGTAGTTCAACTAAACTCCAAGTGTGATTATCTTGTAATGCTTGAATTTCAGATTGCATAGCAGCCACCCAATTTGAATCTTTAATAGCCTCAGCATAAGAAGTAGGTTCTTTGATGATAGAATAAGATGCCAAAGCAGATCTACACACAGGTGATAAGTGATCATAACTAACCACATCAGATACTGGATAACAACAATTTGCACTGCCTTTGCTTGTGGAGACATAGTCATGCATCCAAATGGGAGGCTTAGTAGTCGTGGAAGATTTTCTAGTAACAGGAACTGTTGAAGATTGTAGTGTTGAAGTTTCAGAAACAGAAGCATCACTCAATGAAGAACTATCCATAGAAGGAACAGAAGAGGAAGGAGCAGGAGCAGAAATATTGAATGATGGAGCATTATTCTCTATATAGGATGACTGCAGTTCATCTTCCTTCAAGGAAAACAAATGAAAAAGAGAAGTGGAAGTTGTCTTGAAAGGAAAAACATCTTCCTGAAACAAGACATCCCTACTTGTCAAAAATACTTTGGACTCCAAATCAAACATAGTATAACCCTTTTTTGACACTGAGTAACCAAGAAATGTTGCAGGAATAGCTCTTGGAGAAAACTTGTCCACCTTTCTTACCTGAGTTACACTTTCATGTGAGCTAGAGAAGGTGATTGTCCATGAAGTCTCTCAAAAGGAGATTTACCTTGAATAATTGCAGAAGGCAGTCTATTAATGATATATACAGCAGTGATCACACAATAACCCCAAAATTTCACTGGTACACCAGCGTGAAATCTAATAGCTCTTGCTACTTCTAAAATGTGTCTATGTTTCCTCTCTACCACTCCATTTTGTTGTGGAGTATAAGAGCAAGAACTTTGATGTACAGTCCCAAAAGACTTTAGCAATCCATTCATTTGTGAGTTAAAGAACTCACACCCATTATCAGTCCTAAGACACTTCACCACAGAAGAATAAACAGTCTGAACCATAAGCAAAAATTCCTTAATCACAACAACAACAACAGCTTTAGAAGGTAGTAGAAACAACCAAGTATATCGAGAATAGTCATCAACAAGTGTAAGAAAGTATTTTTTTCCATTATGAGTAGGAACTCTGTAAGGACCCCAAACATCACCATGAACCAACTGAAAACAACACTCAGAAGTAGTAGTGCTTAATGGAAAAGACAGTCTAGTTTATTTTGCTAAAGGACACACACTACAACTCTTGATACATTTGTCCCAATGTGTAGAATTATGACCAAACAGCTTGCTTATAGTGACAGAAGAGGTGTGACCCAACCTTTTGTGCCAAAGATTCATACTCATGCTATCAGAATCTGTAGAAGACATTCCAAGTGATGAAGAACAGGCATTAGTAGCTGCAACAACATTTGCTATAAATGCTTTCTTATGACCTGATTGAAACACATACAATCCATTTTCTTCCTTACCAATCCCCTTCACCTTGCCACTTGAGAGATCCCGGAGAATACAAAAATCAGGATAGAATAATACAGCACACTAAAGCTCCTTTGTCAGTTGAGAAACAGACAAAAAATTGTATTTGAACTCAGGAATATGCATGACCTTGGTTATCTCTTGACTAGGAAAGAGACAGGATGATCCTGTATGAGTTATATTAACTACATTACCAGTAGGCAAATGAACTTTGCCTAGACCACTCTTGTTTACTATTGTAGTGTGAGATAACAGCTCAACAGAACTCACTATATGACTAGAAGCACCAGAATCCACTATCCACTTAACATCATCTGAAATGGTAGTAGTATGAGAGATCATACCTGCTGTCAAGGCTACATGATCAGCATCAGATTTTTCTGAATCAAGCATGGTCAAGATCTGTTTGTATTGTTGTTCAGTAAATTGAGGAATAACACCAAATGTATCAGTAGAACCTTTAGACATGTGAGAAGATCCTGCAAAATTGGCAGATTGACCCCCAAACTGATTTCCAATATCACTAGGATTAGGATTGCCCTTACTAGTTTCATTTTCTTTGATATATGATCCTGTTTTCTTCTTGAATTTATAATCTAGAGGATATCCAATTAACTTGTAACACACTGCTTTTGTGTGACCTGTGAGATGACAATGATCACAGTAGAGATCATTCCTTCTGCTTCTGCCCTTGTAAGAGGAATTATTCCCCTGATAGTTAGTGCGTACACTTGAGTTGCTTTTACCACTAAACAAAGTTGTCCCCTCAGCAATTTCACAGCTGTAAGAAGAAGAAGAAGAACCCAGAGATCTTCTACTTTCCTCAGAAATGATCATGGCATATGCTTTATTAATCGATGGAGTAGGAAGCATCATCATGATATGATTTATAGACTATGAGTAAGACTCATTTAAACCCATCAGAAATTGAAGAAGACGTTGATACTAAAGTGTTCCACATATTTCCTAGACTCAGCACAATTACATCCAGGACATGACATCAATGCATCAAATTCTGCCCATAGTTCTCTTAGTTTTGAGAAATAGGTTGAAACAGAAGAAATTCCTTGGTTAAGAGTAGAAATTTGTGAATGAAGAAAGAAGACTCGAAATCCATTAACCTTGTCGAATCGTTCTTGTAAATCAGTCCACACCTTATATGCACTTGTAGCATATACAATTCCACTAAGTAATTCAGTACAAACAGAATTCATAATCCATGAAAGGACTATAGCATTACATTTCTCCCACAAATCATGAAGAGAAGCATCAAATTTCTCCTTAGGATATCGACCATCCACAAATCCTAACTTGCTTTTACCTAACAGACTAATTCGCATTGAACTGCTCCATAATGCATAATTCTCAGGGCCTGTTAGTTTAATCGAAATTAGGGAACTACCTGGTGTATCATTGGGCTGAAGAAACAAAGGATGGTGTTGATCGATTGTTACCAAAGTGGGTACAACTTCAGCTCCAATTTCCAGATCTGCAGGTGAACCAGCATTCACCATTGTTGAGAGGTCGAACAGGAGAAGAACAGAACAGTAAAAAAATGAAACGTGAGCCAGAAACTGGGAAGATCAAAGGAATATGAGATCGATTGCTCAAGCTCTGATACCATGTTAAGATCCTTGATCTTCACCATGTGAGAACCTTCAAGATGAGAGAAGAAAAGAGAAGAGAAGAGAAGAGAAGAGAGGAGAGGAAATATAATGTTTTGTGTATTTCTAACTTATATTCAACAACCTGTACATACTGTATTTATACACTTTATTAACAACATTTAACAAACTCTAACTACCTTTCTAACAATATAACTAACAAGATACAACTAACTAACTAATGGAAAATATCTCTTTATTTAACACTCTTTGTTCTTATCCCTTGAAAAGAGAGTTGCATCTGGTTCAAGGCTTCTTGCCATTTGTTTAGCCAATGCCTCTAGGTTGGAAAGCAAAATCTCAAAATTTTTAACTGAATGTTGCTATGTCCAACCCTGAATGGAGGTGACGAATGGATTATACTCCTTCTTCAATCCTCAAATAAGAAATCGTCGCAATCTTGCTTCGCCCATTTTTTCAACCGCGTCTAATTCTAAAATTTCAGCACATATAGCTTTAACTCGCAAGAAATATTTAGAAATAGACAAGCCTCCTGTGCTCGGATTGCCAATTCATTTTCCAGCAGCTGAAGCCTAGCGATGTTCTTTTTAGTAAACAATTTCTCAAGTATTTTCCATACTTCTTTTGGTGAACTAACATCACGTTACATGATCAATGAGCTCTTTTTCAATTGTTGTTCTCAAAGCAAAGAGTGCTTTACCACATTTGATCTTTCCATTTTCTCCGTGAATCTGAATTTTTCGGAGTATTTGCTGAAATTTCTTATTCAGCATCAGCAATAAGATCCCACAGGTCTTTGACCTTAAAGGTAAGCCTTCATACACGTTCTCCAGTATTTATAGTTTCTCCAGACAAGTTTCTTGACACCAAGCTGTGCGTTTGAACTATCTCGCTCATTTGGTGACTTCCATACTGCCACAAACTTTTTCTCTTCATCTTTCAATCTCTTCCAACAAGACTTAACAAACTTGATAGAGAAGGAAAGAACGTTCAAGCCAATAACCTAGCTCTGATACCATAAAACAGAGAAAAAAATGAACAAGTGCAGCAGGTGAACAGGTTGAAATGGAGAAAGAACTTTATTTTGCTTGAATTGAAGCTATGTACTTTTGTAGCGGACACTTATAGTTATATATATATAATAAGCGTTAACTTCTAACCCTTAGAATAACTTTAACAAATAAAATTCCTAGCCTAATAAACAACTAACCTGATCATCATTCCTAAAATATAGAAACTATTATTTGACTCAATAAACTGCAGAAGTAAAACAGTAAAAGAAAAGTCTAAGATGCACTACTTTTTAACATGAAATACTTAAAATATCTCCATTCTTATTAAAATATAATTAATATTGATATAAACAATCTTCCCTCGTGTTCGGTTATGACAAGTCTTAAAATATAGAAACTATTATTTGACTCAATAAGCCGCAGAAGTAAAACAGTAAAAGAAAACTCTTAGATACACTATTTTTTAACATGAAATTCTTAAAATCTCTCCATTACTTATTAAAATCTAATTAATATTTTGATATAAACAATTTTTCCTCGTGTTTGGCTATAACAAGAGCCCCGAATGTAGCACTATTTGTTATTCCAACAATGATAAGACTAAATTACATAACTCGAAAAGAACGAGAGAATGCATAACATAATTTATTTTGGTTTCCGATTTACCCACTATTATCGTTCAACTACAACATATCATCTTATTATTAAATTAAAAGCTAATAAGGACCAAAGAAATATACTAAAAACAAAGCCAAACTGAAGAAAAAACTTGATTAGATTTCGTGGTCCCAAATATCTGCTACGCTCTTGTAAGGCCCATCACTCTTGTTCACAAACAATTCTTCCCCATCTAACACTCGCATCTACACATCAAAAATTCGATTATTGTTTGCGTAGGAACTACTCGTAATAACAAACTTCATTACTATAAACAATATACATCTAGTGAAACCAACACAATTTGGTAGTACCTGATCTGGGATATCACAAATAGCTTGGAAATCTTTTTCTGGAATTTCCCATGAAAACACTTTAATGTTCTCTTTTATTCTTTCTGAGTGATCTGATTTTGGAATCGTACTCGTTCCTCTTTGTATAGCCCACCTCACTAGAACCTGCCCCGCCGTTTTATTTAACTTCCCTGCTACTCTCTCTACTACTGGATGATGAATTAGATCAACTTCTCGCGAACCCAAAGGTGAATATGCCTGAAAAAATTGAATTCACATTCGAGAACTTGTTAGTATGCATAAAGTTTCGGTTACTTACTGTGACGTGAATATTATTTTTCTTGCACGCTTCCAACATTTTTTCATTTCTCCATCCAGGGTGCATCTCCATCTAATCAGTACATAACATTAGCCAAAAATACGAAATAAAGAGAGGAAGAACGTTACGGATAATTAATATTCAACTAACCTGGCATACAGAAGGCATTATCTCTGCAATATCTAAAAGCTTATTAAGTTTCTTAACAGTGAAATTACAGACTCCAATATCTCGTACGAGTTTATCTTTAACTAACTTCTCCATTTCTATCCAAACACCTTCCCAATCGAAGTCAGACACTTCCCCTGCTTTTGGTGGTCTACTTGCTCCGTCCTTGAGACGGAAGGGCCAATGAATCTGCAGATTCATCTGTTAGATTTCAAAACTAGCAAATAAATACCTCAAAAAGAAGGAAGTACCAGATAGAGATCAAGATAATCCAGTTGCAATTCATTGAGTGTCTTCATCAATGCAGGTCGAACTCTCTCCGTTGACAAATCACAACACCTAAAACAATTGATAAAATCTACTTAATTCGTTTCATCGAACGGTGGATGTACAAAATCCGAGAGATTTAAAATAAGTTGAAGAGAATACCATAGTTTAGATGTGATAAATAAGGTTGATCTCTCTACTCCTGTATGTATAGCTGCCTTGATTCCATGACCAACCTATGTAAAGAACAATTTCATACTTGCACGTCGATATTAAATGTCTCAAAATGACATTTATTTACAATTCTGTTATAGAAAACTTTAAACTATGAACACAATAATTCTCTTTAGAAAACTAAGCCTTGTTCTTATGTGTATGCTAAACAACGTGTACATAAGGAATAATCACAAATGGAAAAAAAAACCTCATCTTGGACTCCGTACTCTGCCGCTGTGTCGACATGCCTATAGCCAGCCTGCAACCATAGTTAAAGAGCATAGATACTCATTGAAAAAACAATTTTAAATAATCAAATGTGCTAAAAGGTTGGGTTTCATGCTCCAAGGGGCAAGCCTTGGGGGATTGAAGATCGCACAATATTCTAAGGGACTCACACGCACCGGAATGAGTGAGACGAAAAATTGAAGTTCATACGTCTGTATTATATGTAAGTTGAAATCAAACAAACTGTAATTATAAGTTCAACCCTAACTTGAATATGCTAAAAAGATGAAAAATTATGAAAAAGTAAAAATAAATAAATAATATTATGGATTACATTACAACAAATTTTTTTTTATGTATAATTAAATATATTTAAAAAGTTATACAAGAAATGTCGAGTAGATTTTGTTCAATTCGACTCTTTTTTTTAAAAAAAAATTAAAATGAATTTAACGAACATCGAGTATTAATTTGGTGTAATTTTTCGATTCTGTTGTGTACATCCCTACTCTTAACAACACTTTAAGAATAAATAAAAACACCACAAGAAATGATATTGTTACTAAACCAGTCGATCAACATAGCACAATACAATCAATGTAGTCTACTCCACTCATTACTTCATCTACATAACATCTAGATAACAGTACGATACATTAATAACAGAGCCAGAAATTTTACGAATAAATATCTTTTTTTTAGTGTGAAAAACTGTTAAAAAATTATTGCTAATGAGATTCAACATAAATTACTGGAGTACAACAAAGGACTGATTTTCTTATCTTATTTGAAGTTTTTTTTTTTCTAAAAGAATAAAAAAACGTAAAATGTTTATCTTTTTTTTGAAAGGAAAATATAGCTCTCTTTCATATTTAATTTGTTCTTTCTTTAGAGGAAAGGTATGAAATCCCCATACCTATGAATAGAAGATCCCTCTTTTCACACTAAAAACACAACAAGAACATCCACCGTCTGGTCATTTAGAGAATCTTGTTTATGAAAATATTTTCTCCCCAACATCTTTATGTTTTTCAATATTAGTTTCAATTTAATGTGTAGGCATTTGGCCAAATCATATAATAATATTTTAATTTTAGTATATGTTTTTCTCATATGATTAATCAATCATATGATTTACATATTATAAGTTTCCATGTGACGTCCTTATTACTTTCGAACCACTGCAACACCCTAGCACCCTATTATGTTAGGTATTATCATTTTACTTGTATATACATTGTTATTTTATTCATATATACATTATTATTTTCTGACAAAGAGTATCCAAATAAACTCTAGCTACGCCCCTAGATACATTACAATCAACATATCATCAACTCGTAATATTACAATAATATAACAATATAATACAATACAATACAATAAAAGTACATTATTTATAACAAGAGGAGGAAAATAACAATCCAAACAGGTAGAGTACCTCAAGAATAGCAGTAAAAACAGAATCCCTAGCATTATGAGCTCTCCAAGTGCCCAAACCAATAGCAGGAATCTTGTGACCACTCAACAGTACAAAAGATTCAATTTTCTCACCTTGTGGGTCTATTGTCATCTGAGCCATCTTAACTTATCGTAACGGGTATGAATTTTCGATACAATACTTGCTATATAATAAGAAGACAATAAATTAAAGGACATTTATATGGCATGGAAAATATATAGAGGGGCTAAAGTTTGTATACACGTAGCATTGCAAGTTGTGACACGTTTGAACACATTCACAAAATTTTGCAACACATTTTTGTGACACGTTCTCTTTTTTTGGCTACCTACCACACTCTTCTTGCCTTTTTTTTTTCCCCTTTGTGTATTTTGTTCTCTTGCTCTAGAATTTTGACGTATATACATTTGTGAATGATCCAGATAATTAATAATGGTATCGGATCTAATTAAAAAAATTGAGCATAATATAAAAAGGAAAAAAAAGTAAATATATTTCTAAATTATTATAAATAATATACAAACATATTTCATTATATTTTTGAAATATTAATACCCTGTCGATCAAAAATTAAAGTATTGCCCTCTCTATAATTACATGTAACAACTTCTCTAAAAAAATTATTATTCTTACCTCTATTTAAATATCGATTAGCGTCAATTAATACGGGCGATTCATGACCCATGGCTGAAGAATGAAAATTATATATATATATATATACTCACTTAGCACATAATGAACAAGACCCATGCGCACCATTGCGACATCAACAAGACACTTAATTCCCACTATGAATAGTTTGGGTAACCTGTGAGTATTTAGCTCCATGTGGAATTCCCACGATGAATAGTTTGTGTAACCTGTGGGTATTAAGCTCCCCGTGAAATTCAATCACATGTGAAAAGAATTCGCTATTTATATAAGTATACTTTTATTTATAATATCCTGATATTTACTATTTCAATAGTTACTTATTCTATTTCTTGTCATCTTAAGAAGCAGAGTTAGAGTTTTATTTGACAATATATATAGAATTACACTCGATACTTACACGCTTAGTGTAATAATCGGCTTGTGTACACAAATTAAATTATTTAATCTGTTTTTCCCTTCTACTTAACTCTATTTATTTCAAATCAATTGCTTTTCTAGCTATACACTACGTTATCGAATCATTTATGACTACTGATGATATGCTAAAGTAGAAACTTAATTGAAACTTCAAGAAACAATCAAAGGTTAAAGAGCATTCAAATGAAAAATTAATGTAACTTTTGAGGTCTCACACACTAAAGAAACAAAGAACCATTCTTTCATTAACTCATTGGTTGTTTAGCACACATGGTAGAGAACATTTGCTGCAATATTTTCAGCTTATAATGATGTGTGTGTCTCATTCTTTAATTATTCAATATCGTGTAGATCTTAGGGTAGACACCTCTCAATGTCAAACTTGAATTTCTCTCATCAATATATATAGAATTACACTCGATACTTACATGCTTAATGTAATAACCGGCTAGTGTACACAAATTAAATTATTCAATCTGTCTTTTCTTTCTACTTGAATTTAATTATTTAAATAGCTATACACTATATTATCGAATCATTTGTGACTACCGATGATATGTTAAAGTAGAAACTTGATTGAAACTTCAAGATATAATTAAAGGTTAGAGAGCATTCCAATGAAAAATTAATGTAACCTTTTGATGTCTCACAGAAGAAAAAAAAACAAAGAATCATTCTTTCATTAACTCATTGGTTGCTTAGCACACGTGGTATGAAACACTTGCTATGATATTTTCAGCTTATAATAATGCACGTGTCTCATTCTTTTAATTATTTAACATCGTGTAAATCTTAGTGTAGACACCTTTAGATGTCTAACTCGAGATTCTCTCTTTAATGATGCTCAAACTCTCTTTCTAGGGGAGACTCTCGTTTGACCTATAAACAAGTCATAATGACAATGTAATCATCTCTTCACGTTCAGCGACGTAAGAAGCAATTGCTCATAAAAAAGAATAATCTTGCAACTTGTCTGAATCACTCTATCTTTAAAACATTATCAGATGCATATGAAATATGAATATAAATCAATACTCTTATATCGATGAAAATATTAGAACCAAGTTATTTTCAATATTGAAATATTATTATGTTTCACAAACAAGTCTCTAGATATCCCTTCGGTAAAGGGATCAACTATTATTTTACATATATAATTATTACGTCAAAATGGCTAGTCCTCCCTAAAATATTATGTCAAAAAGTCTTGATAGAGCCTAACTTATCTCGAAATATATCATCGAAATATCTAGTCCCTCCCAAAATCTTACATCGAAAAACCTTATACGAACCCATTAGTCCTCAAAGAGGCCAATTCGACTACAAAATCTTACATCAATATGGTCATACAAACACCTATCATCTCCTAGATTCTTACACCGAATCGATTGTACAGAGTCCAAGTCTATTCTAAAATCTTTGATCGGACTAGCTACAACGCAAAAAGGGGAAATGTACATGAATGAGTCTAGGAAATTACTCACCACACCCGTCAACCCAAAGATATTGACAAGACTATTTGAAGGTCACAATATATCTTGCTGGTTTAAATCTAGCCCAAAATTCAACCTGAAACTAGGCCTATGAGCTATGAAAATCAACTTTTAAATAACCTCTAGCCAAATCTAGGCTAAGACTTACAAACAACACCATTAAGACCCTTCTAGCCTAATATCAACTCACGGGCACAAACGGATATAACCAAATCATGCAAAACAGAAAAATCACTTGGAGTAACTGAAATATGGTCAAAGCAATACTGGTAAAGAACATATCACAAAATCATGCTTAAATCAACCTCATACTTAGCTAATTAACATGCTAGCACAATCACAAGCAAGGTCTAAGGATCATAAGTTGTAACCTACCTCAAAACTGATCACTCACACTCTTACTTTTAAATCAAAGTATTTCCCTTCTGAGATGCCTCCAAATGATTCCACACTATTATATTAGTGATCTCAGTATCAATACAAGTGTTTAGACACCCCATTCACAATAACTAAAGTCGAAACTACAAACAAGTTAAAATGTCATTATAGAACCCACATAAGAAATTCCAAAATTTGTTCCGTCAATGGGTCCCGAAAACAGGCATAATATGAGCTTCGAAGTGCCCCTAAAACAGACCATACATAAACTTGAGAATTGACAATTAAAGAACCAAAATGAAGAGGAGTCGAGGGAAAACTTACTGTTATAACGCGAGAGTACAAGCCTAACAACATACCGAAGGTCTTCCCGACAGTCCTAATAAATCCCATCAAAAATCCCACAAGATGTCCAACTCTCCAAGTCTCAAAATGTGTGAACACTTAGAGCTAAAAATCAATTTTAACTACAAGCGAAGCCGCAAAAGAAGTCACTTGGGCGCTTAACGGCCTTGCTAAAGTTGCACCATTATCAGTAAAACGGTTGGTATATCAGATGAGGCTCCACTAAAGCATCACTCTGGCCTCTAAGTGATGTAAGAGTGCTTAAGCGGGAAGCCCTTTGCTAGCTAGGCTCGCTAAAGTAGTTCTTTGCCGCTTAGGCGGCTACCAGACACTAGAAAATTTAGCCAAGTCCTAATGGAATCCGCTCGGGTGCTCGAGATTGGCTCGAAAATCCGTGCACACAAATAAATTATATATATGCTGCCCACCAACTTTAGCATTCCCAACATAATGGAGATGTCAAAACTTCCAAACGGAGGTCGTCTCAACAAAAACTGGATCTCACACCTATGACTTCATTTTAGCCTAAAATCACAAGGTAGTTTAAAATTAGCTCGGAAGTATCAAGATCCAAACCAAAGATTCAACTAGACCAAATTCGACGTTCTCAACCTAACAGAACCACCATAAATGTATTCTGAAACAGTTTAGCTAAATCTTTGATTGAAGTCAATCATTCAACTTTTTAAAAGCTTTAGAACACACAAACTTGCATAAAAATCAAACGAATGATCAAGTAACCCAACTTTTAGTTTCAACAAGTCATAAATGACTTTGGTCACTATAAAAAAGCACTAAACGTTAAAATATCTCTAAATAGAGAAAATGACCTAGAAGATCAGTAAAGAGTGATAGATTTTGTACTTCAAAATGATGACATCATAAAGAGTGTGAGAACTATTAGTAGTTCGATTGGTTGAATATTAATTTCACCTTGTTGGTGAGACACGATTACCCTTGTTATAATTCTCTCCCTCATTTCCTCTTCACCTATGCTCAGAATTTTTTTATATAAAAAAATCATAAAGAGTTTTTACTCCAACTTAAAAATTTGTATTTTTGTGCAATTAAATTTTGAAAATAGCCTTTTGGCCAAAAGATCCAAATATCTACTAGTGAAGAAAACAAGTAGGGATATTGATTTTGAAATTTAGGGTAAAAGATCTTGGGCCACTATAAACGTTAGAGATGTGCAAGAACTTTAAAAATGATAAGAGATTCATGAGTGCAAAATTATTAGTATTAAAAGTACATGGGAATTGGGATGGCCATGATTTGATTAGAGAAAGTAAATGTATTCTGAAAAATGAAACAGGAAAAAAAATAATAAAGGTACAATTAACTTCTCTGTCATTCCCAAACGTAGACGTTAAGTTAACCCAATCCACACGATTCTTTGTCCCTCCCTTTCTATCATTACTCAATAGTCAGTACTACCCCTTACCTCAACTTTGGGTTATAGGCAATTTATATTAAAGAAAAAAATTCAAAATTTATCGTTATATATTTCAAACCATATTAATTCACTGCAGTCAAGTTGTTCCTTTCTCTCTCTCTCTATCTATATGAGATACACTTTTTTTTAAAAAAAAAAATTAAATATGTTATCGATCTTCAAGATAAGGTTACTCTATATCATTCATTCATTTAAGGTTTGACTCATTTATGTCATTTTCATTTTAGAAAAGAATATTTATTTCATTATTTGTTAACGGAAAATTTCGGTTTTGCAAGAATATTTTTAATACATGGTCAATTATGATTCGATCACGTCATTAATTAAATCATTTTTTAATCAATATCGAGCCAAATTTCTAAGCAACGTGACACTGGGTGAACATTCGGTATTCTGTTCGGGTTTCTCAAATTTTGAATTGAATAATTCGGTAATTGATAGTTAA